AAGATTCTTAAATTTGTTATTTGATCGATATTTAACGTTTCACAATTTTTTTCCTGTAAAAATATGTCATTGAATGGATCAAAATTGACGAATGATTTATTTAAAAAAAATTAATCTTCGAAGTAGTCATTTAACTAATTTTTACTAGTTCCTAAAACATTTTTAGAATAGCATTGATCCTTTTCGTGTTTCGTAAAATTTGTCATTTATCAAAATGCTGTTTGTCAACAGAACACGTCTAAACTCACTTTAGTTCATACAACCTCAATATTTCAAACTCTTATTAATCAGAAAAACAAAAAGTTTCGTATTACGGAAAAAAGATAAAAATCCAACCTTTTTTTGTTACATTCAGTCGTCGATTAATCTTCAGTTCCGTCGATTAATTTACTTTTAAGAGATCAACTGTGAAAATCTGCGACTCGATCAGCGCGCAGATCGGTGGCTTGTTTCGAGGTTGCTATCGTGGATTTTTTCCGTGTAGCCTTCCGAGGTATTTTCACGGTGCTCTTTTTGAGCGACGTTGGTCTGAGCTGGATAGGCTGCGCGCTCGCGCGCAGCTGGCGCCAAGTAGAAAGCACGTGTCTCGCGCAAATGGAGGAACAAGTCGCGTCGCGAGATATGTAGGTGAACAATGTTTTGATACCGGCCTTTGAGGGTTTCAGATCGTGGTTATGGTTTCTGGAGTCCTGTGGCGAGCAGCTAACGCAGCTCGAAAAACCTTGGGATATTTTACAAATTGTTTAAAAAACATCCGGTGCATACTTGCGTATCTACTTTGTTTCAAATTTTAGGAATTTTCTTTTCTCAAATTTTAAGAATTTTCTTGAGATATTTTACTAGTGATTTAAAAAGCATTCCGAGAATACTAGCGTATCTATTTTATTTCAAATTTTCTTTTTCGAATTGTAAGAATTTTCTTAAATTTTCTTTTTCAAATTCGAAGAAATTTCTTTTCTCAAATTTTTAGAATTTTCTTGAGATATTTTACTAGTGATTTAAAAAGCATTCCGAGAATACTTGCGTATCTATTTTATTTCAAATTTTAAAAATTTTCTTTTCTCAAATTTCAAGAATTTTCTTAAATTTTCTTTTCTCAAATTTCAAGAATTCCCTCGAAACGTTCTACAAATGACTTAAAAACCATTCCACGAGTACTTACGTACCTGTTTCATTTCAAATTTGATTTTCCAAATATTTCCAATTTTCCAAAGAAATCTGTTTCCCGAATTTTTCTCAATTCGAACCAGTAATCCCCCGCTTAACCTTTCCAACCGTAAATCGTCGTATAAACATCACAGAAGCACGGAATATATCTTTTAATAGAATACATATTAATTACCGTATTAGATTCCAATGTAAAATGTTTCTCTAACAAGCTGGTAATTGAATAAGTTTAACAAAAAGTGTAGTCTCGGGTTAATTATTCGTTTCCTGTCTTTAATCAAGATTCCCTTCTACGCACGAACACAATAAGACGAGCTTCTAATCTTTTCGAAGAAACTATCTCCAACGGTTGGACGTCGAAGCGCGTACGTTTGATATCAGACCACCAGACACCACCTAATTCTCCAGTTAAACGAGGAGATACGAGCGAATCATTAACTCTTATACACGTGATTAATCAAGAGATTAGCCATGTGCGCGTTTCCTACGTCCGAGCTACATAATTAAGACGCTTCGTGGAATTGTTCGAATTCTTGAGGAGGAACCAGTTCGTGTCTCCTTGTATCGAGCTGCTTTTAATTCTATGAATAGAAACGAGAAATTAGAAAGTAAAGGAATTTTAACCGCGCTAAGTATTCGTTTACTTGCACCGATCTGTTTCACTGCTTTTTTCCAAAATCAACTCTGCGCTCGAACGTTCGAAACGTTCGCGTTGGACCTGTGTGAAATTACCTTTTTCACGAGGATGCAGAGCGGTAGAGTATGCTTTTACTTTCGTTTCGCGGAAAATTAATTGAAATTCTTGATTAAGGTGATTACTTTATTTCACGTTTTCAAGGTAACTTATTCTCCCGTTTTTTAAATAATTTATATTCAAAATGATCGATGAGTTTCAAACACAGTTTCTTTCAAATCAGTAGCTTTTTAAAAGATAAAAGAGTCTTGGGTAGAAAGGGTTAATTCTTACATCAAAGAAGTCACAGCTAAAATCTTCCCTTTTTTTTCTGTTCACATTCGACATCTCACACGTCAATCTCCTCTTAAATTTCTTTTAAACTACTGGCTCCTTCTAACGAACAAAAATCCTCGAGTGCATAGAAAGGGTTAACAAGTCTCCAATCTTCGTTAACTTTTTTGCTGATGTTCTCCCTTCTCTTTGTTCACAATCGACATCTCGCGCGTCAAACTCCTCTTAAATTCCTCTCAAATTACTCGGCTTACTGGCTCTAAGGGGAAATATTCTCAAGTAGAAAGGGTTAACTGTTACATCAAACGAGTCTCCAATCTCCACTAACCACAGCTAAAATTTTCCCTTTTCTTTATTAACAGTCGATATATCCCACACATCTCTACAGGTCCAAGCACAATTTTGCCCAAATTACAAGCTCTCCCTGTCTAACGAAGAAGAAAGGGTTAAATTTTAGGTGGAACAAGCCTGCACTCTCCATTAACTTCTGCGAACACACTCCCTTTTCTCCGCTCACAATCCACATTCCGACCGATGTTCCGCTGCACCTCGACAAAGAGCCATCGTTTGGTCGAAGAAAGCTATAGCGAGGGAAAATCCCCTTAGCGTGCCGGAGCGCCAGTTAATCGTCGGATCATGCAAGTTTCCAGGCTGGGTCGAGTCAGAGCCGCGCGGAATCCCCGCGATGCCCCGGCGATTTGTACGAATCCCGGGTGTAATCCGTTCGTCGCGCCACGACTCTTGTTCATCGTGGTCGTTTAAAAGGTCGGACTCGTCGTTTCGCCAGCGAGGCGAAATGTCGAGCCTCTCCCCTCGACCAGTCATCCTTCTTCTTGCACGAAGATATTCAATTTTCCTACCGTTCTCGCTTCTGCTTCTTCTTCTTGTTGCTCGAGAAGGGAAGGATGACGAACCAAGTGGTGAAAGAGAAAGAGAAGGAGGAGGTGAAGGAAGGTCTGATCGTGAGAGAGCGCGGGAAACGACAGGCGAGGCTCTCGAATCTAACGCCGTTCGTCGTAAAGCAACGGATCGTCTTGTATAAAATAAAAGGGGACAGATTAACGGCCGTGAACGTGGGGGCCTCGTGCATGCATATAGGAGGACTCGTGCGCGCGATTAGACGTGTGCATGGCCCTCCCACGCGCCACTCTCTCTCTCCTCTGTCTCTCCCCTTTATATCTCTCTTTTTCTCTGCTCTATCTCTGTCTCTCCCCTGTCTCTCCTCTTTATATCTCTCTTTTTTCGTCTTCCCTACATACATATCTATTTTTCTGTCCTCTTTCTCTCTCCTCTCTATATCTCTCTTTCTCCTTCTCCTCTCTATCTGCGTTTATTCCTCTCCGTCTGTTCGTCTTTCCGTTCGACGCTTCGAGAGTATCACGTGTTCCCGCGAATTTAATTGCCACCATAAATATCGTGGGCCTTTCCTGGCCGAGCAACGCTGAAATACGACGGAGGATCCGCTCTGAACCCCTTCCGCTCTCCAAGTTCTCCCCGCTGAGGGTATCCAACCAGAGAGAAAAAGTGGATCGTTCTGGATCGTACAGAAGGTGGGTTTTGATTTCGATCAGCGTGTCGGAGCTTTCGCACACTTCGCTTTTCTAGTTGGACTTTTGGTTCATTGGCTTTAGGACACTGTGTTCCCCGTTTTCATCTTCCAAGATTAACCAAGAGAAAATTCAAGAGTTTGTCTGAAACACGTATAAATAACTCTTTGCGCAATAAACTATATTTAACAGTATTTCCTTGCAGAGAGATTAAAACGACACTCTGGACAATTATAAATGCTTTATCCAGGTCTGGCGAAACTCCAGTGACTCGCGTTCTCTCGACAATCTTTACGACCGCGTTCGCTAACCTCCCTTCATTTCCGTTCGAACGGAACACACTGTTTGCCAAGAAGTCGTGACCCGTCCACTGGCTTCGATTCCCGTTTCGCGGACCTTGGCAGCTTCCGTTCATCCGTGACGACCGGAAGCCCCGGAAATTTACGGATTCCATGTGTTGCGAAAGAAGCGTTCCCTTGCAACTTCTTATGCACCGGTCTCGTTCATTTCCTTTGTAAGAAATTGCAAGACTCACGACAGTGAGTATGTGTTCGCACACGTAAATTTACACGAAAATCGGTAAATAGTTCAGAAGAAAAATTCACGAAAAAGTAACGAATAATATTAAGTAAGTTGACATTTTTCAAATTTATTCACGCAGTCAAATATCTCACTTAAAAACACGTAATTCTTCCATTTACACCGTTCTTCTATTTCTAACAATATTTAAGATATTAAACGAATTACGTTTTGGGGCATTGACCAGTTTACACCCTCAACTTTGATGCCAATTTTCACCCCTCCACAGTGTGTCGTTACAAAAATAAAAAAATACGTGTCTAATATTTTTTCGAGAACTGTTACTCCTCGAAATTTCATCAAAATCCACGAATTTCCCTTATCGCTGTAATTGAAAAGTGGATAGACACTCGTAAAAATCAGTGAAATTCACTTGTCGCTGTAATTAAAAAGTGGGTCACGTTAAATTTAGCTTAAAACTCATCAGTTCACGTCGTTCCTCTATTTCCGACATTATTTGAAATATTAAACCAACTTTGTTTACACCCTCAACTTTGATGCCGATTTTCACCCCTCCACAGTGTGCCGTTACAAAAATAAAAAGCATACGTGTGTAATATTTTTTCGAGAACTATCGCTCCCCAAAATTTCATCGAAATCGGTGAATTTTCCTTATCGCTGTAATCAAAAAGTACACGAAACATTTTCACATTAAATCTTCCTTATCAAAACTCAAGCAAAAATTGTCCGTATAATTCCAAATAATTAAACCAACCGAAAAAAAACATTCCCTGTTACAGAGAGGTGTGCGTGGACGAGGGCCAGCAGTTGTCACTCGCGCACGGATGCCAATTCTACGAGGTGAGCGCGGCGGAGAGTCCCGCGGGCGCGGCGCTGGCTTTCCAGGCACTTCTTCGCGAGGCGAGGTCTGTACAATTGCTCCGGGCGCTACCGATCCGGCGAAAACTCGGCGTGCATTCTGTGTCGAGGGTGCTCGGCACGATCTTCGGCAAGAACACCACGAAAGACCGGAAAAAGAGGCCCTCGTTGAGCATATGACGCCTCCTCTGCGCCCTCCTCCTCGGAGGTCGTGACGAACCCGGCAGGAGAACCGACGTGGTCGTTCTCAGCAGCAACGTCTACACGAACCGCTGACGAGGACATGAAAAACGATTGTCTGACCAATTTTACCGAACCGTTCGCACAGAGAATGAGAAGAGATTCTCTTGGTTTCGACGAAACGAGAGAGACGATGGAACGAGATGCAGACGAAGAAGTTTTCAGTGTCCTCTGGACGCAGCTGTTCCTGTGATCTATTCGAGACGTCCAGAGGAGAGAAGGGGACGATGTCTCAGATGGAGAGGTAAAGAAAAATTTGAAAAAACAAAATCTATCATCTGCTGGAAGAAGAAGAAGCAGCTTCGAATTGCAAGCATAGAGGGGAGAAAAGTGTCTTTTTTCTTTCTCATTGTTTTCCCAACGAAACGAAGCAACGTCGTTTGTGATTGATTGGAGAGAAAGAGGGTGGCAAGAACTGCGTGAGATCTGACTCGATTAGAGACGTTTTCGTTCGGCATCCGGCGGAGACACTCGTGAGAACAGTGGATCGAGACGAGCCGTGTGAAAGATATTCCGTGGAAATGACGACGGGCGGCCATGGTAAAAATTGAAGACATTCGGAACGTTCAATGTGGATTATTTTCGTGTGTCGTTTTGCTTCGTGCAAATTTTTCTCCCCGTTTGTTCTTCTCTCCTCTTTGTGTTCTCGTTTTTTATTTTTCCGGAGAGATTGAAACTCGTCCTCTTCGAGGGTGCACACACCCTTTGTCGGAGTTTTGGGCGACTTTTAGAGAGGATGCTGTACGCGCGTGCGACTGCTGTTCCTGAACGTTGTAGCTTTAAGCGTGACCGGAAATCGAGGTGAATCTCATCAGGGCGGTGGTTGGGATCGATGACTGGTGAATTTGGCGAGCTATAGTACTTTTCTCGTTCTTCGGCATTTCTTTTAATTGTTTATTTTGCTCGAGTGAAATGAAGAAAATTTTGTCGATTTGGGAATATTGGTAATATTTTTCTATTTTCGAGAAATTTTACTGGAAAGTACTGTAATTTTCTATTTTCTCTTGTGATGTGCTTGCATTGTCTTCTGTATACATTTTTGAGTATTGGGTATTTAGTTGAAAAGGCTTCATAGAAATTGTTCACTTAAAACTTCAAACATTTTCCGATATACTCGGTTGCCTTTATTTTTTAGTACTGAGTATTTAGTTGAAAAGGGTTGATTAGGGTAATTTTCATAAGAATTACTTTTCCCTATTTTCGAGTATAAATTCTTCACTTTCCAATCTCTTTTTTCCGTGCTTTCGATAAATGTGAAAATAATAATGTTACATATAGTAAATACATAATTGCATTATGTCTATGAGAACGTTTTAATGCAAAATTAGCGAACAATAATCGTACAAGATGGAAGAAAATCGAATGAAATTATTCGATAAGCGTGAATGGAGGAAAGTTCAGCTTGGACAATTTCATGCCTTATGCAGGCATCGAAGTCACCAGTGTTCGCGGCGTTCCCAACGCTCGTGTCGCTTCTCGAATAGATATTCGCAATCTCGAGAACTCGCTTGACCTTTTAAGAACATACTGTAACAATGAAAAATCACCAGTCGAGCCTGATAAATACGGTTGACTCTTGAAATCGATAATTACCAAAGACAAGTCGCGTTTAACTCGGCGATTTCCAACTGTCGCGGCGCAACCACGATTAAACAGCCGACTGTGACGCGTCCAGCCATTAAAAAGAATCGTAAAACGGCGGATTAATGTCTTCCACCATAAAGAGAAGTATCCCTATAAAATTACCGCTGTCAATTTTCTCCTCGATCGTATAAAACGAATCGGGAATTTCTAATTACTCGCCGTCCTGCTTGACTGAAAGAATTAGAGAATTACTTAATAAAAAAAAGTTCCCCGGTTTCGTATATCTTTGGATATTGAAATATTTAGAGAAATTCACATTGCAATTTAATTTTCGTTCAAATTTTTCTTTTC